TACTGAAAGTGTCATGGACTGCCAAAAGAACCAATAGATCTGTTTTGGAAGAAGTGCAGCCAGAGTGCTCCTTAGAGGCCAAGATGGCCAAACTTCGTCTCTCATACTTCGGACATATTGTCAGGAGGGAACAGTCTCTGGAGAAGGATATCGTGCTTGGTACGATGGAGGGTTGGAGAAAAAGAGGAAGACCCCCAATGAGATGGATTGGCCAGGTGGCAGCATCGATGGACTCAAGTGTGGCAACAGTAGTGAGGTTGGCCCAGGATCAGACAGTGTTTCATTCTGCTCTGCATAAGGTCGCTATGAGTCTGTACTGACTCGATGGCACCTAACAACAACAACAAAGGCACAATTTTAATTGGATTGGGCAAAGATTCAGTGGTAATGAGGACAAAATTACTCAGAGTTCTAGAAAGACTTGGATTTTAAAACTATACCTCACTTATTAGGAAAAGGTCAAAATGGATGTCACCTAACAACAACAACAACCTGACTTATTATATTAAAATAAACGAGATGAATGAGAATTAAAATGTAAAACAAATGTAACATACATCAATATTTCTGTAGTTTGAGGGATGAGAAAAGACTTATTAAGGTTAGTTATAAAGAAGAGAAACAATAAATTGATAGACTTTATAAAGTACAATTTTAAATCTTCATGCAAAAAAGTCATTTCACATAAAATTTAAAAGGTAAGCAATACACTGAAAAAAACTTTTCATCATATTTAACAAGGTCAGAAACCCTATTCAATGGGTTGCTATGAGTCAGAACCAACTCTATCACACTAACCACCATAACCCAGCCATTGAATTGGGCCTTGGTGTGGCACTGCGGGATCATCACTGGACTGTTAACCACAAGGTTGGCAATTCAAACCCACCCGCTGCTCTAGGAAACCCTATACAAGAGTTGCTATGAGTCAGAACTGACTAGATGGCATACACCAACAACAACATAGTATTACTTTTCTTACTATATATAAACTATGGGACTTCAGTAAGATGGGCATACCAATATGAATGGCAGAAAAAGATGCAAAAGGTAAATCAGAAAAGATGACATAAACAACTATCAAAAATGGAGTCAAAATCACCTATATTAGTAACAATATAAATTAACGTAATTGTGTATAATTTTTGTCTAATTGACGATTCATATATTAGTTAACTAAAATCAGTGACAAATGAGTTTGAGGGAAAGGTCATTTCATATCTGAGTAGTGCAAAGGTAAATTGAGAAGAAGAATTATTTCATTTTACAAATAAAAACACTTAAACCCGCTGCATAATCTCTGACTCAGCAATTTTAATGCCGGAAATTTATATTAAAATCAAATAATTCATCAAGAAACAAACACTGTAGAGGAGACTCTCAAGAATTAAGTGGATGTGATTACCCTTCTATGCATGTGAAGTAGGCCCTTTGTCCAGTCTCTTCAGTGGTTGCTCAATGGGCTCATGTTCAAAAGTGTCATATGTGGGAGCTATGCCTGGGAACCAACAATATGAAATTCTTTCCAAAGCCACCACTGCTGTGTGCTCAATCTACCAACACAGTAGCTAACTTACGCCCTAACAATGCTATGATTTCCTGGAAGGATCAAAGTGCTATCTGATGGCAGGTTGATTGCGTTGGTATAGCCCCTCAGGATGGGTTTGCCTTTGGGGTAGGTGATGTCCAATGCTGAGATGCTAACTATTGTACACTACCTGTTGACCTCCCAAAAACTGGGGCTACAGATCCTTCTTGGAAGGGGGATCTGGGAAGCATATCACCATGTTTACCACATAGGATGATGGGTCCTGGCTATCAGGAAATAAAGTTCATGGACATACAAATGGCATGTAGTAGCTCCTCTCCCATGACGTCCGATGATCCCTGCCCACTGCTTTTCATTCCCTGGTAAGATTGCATGCATGCATGACCAAGTGAGTCCAGCCTTCCTTTGGGACCATCGCCTTTGCAGACAACTTAGCTGCAACCTCATGAGAGATCTTGAGCCACACTCACTCAGCTAAGCTGCCACACCTGGATTCTTGACCTGATAAATGTTTATTGTTTACAGTAAAAAAATAAATAAAATGAAATAAAATCAAGTGTAGGCTTACTGTTGGTAAAAATTTACTAGCAGGAATTTTTATGAAATTTTTGTCTATAGTAAGGAAAAAAGGGGAGATGACTAGTTAACAAGAAAATATTAGATAAGTAAATTAGAGCATCAGCACTGGATTGCGGACCACAAGATCAGCAGTTTAAAACCACCAGTTGCTCATTGGAAACCTTATACAGGGTCACTATGAGTCATAACTGGCTAGACAACACTTAACAACAACAACAAATAATAATGACATGAAATGATGGCATACATTGTAGTCATCAAAAGTAATATTCACAGAATGTTGTTGTTGTTAAGCGCTACTGAGTTTGGTTCTGACTTTAGCTACCATGTATAGAGTTTCTGAGGTGCTGGTAAGTTTGAAGCTCCGACCTTGTGGTTCAAACCGACCTTGTGGTCCTACATTTATCCTACAGTGCCACACCAGAACTCCATTCACAGAATACTAGGATATAATATCATGGGAAGATGTCTGTGATATATGGATACAAGAAGAAAGACAGAAGGAAAATGACATCATTATATGATCTTATTAGATTTTTTAAAATTAATTTTTATGAGAGTGATAAGTAATTATTTTTCAAATACAAACAATCAGAAGAGAATGTAGTAAAAAAGACAAAGACCAGATTTCCAACTTATAGGTCCCATTCCCCATTGTTTAACATTCAGACCATTGTTTCCAGTATTTTTCTTTATGTACACACACACACACACACACACACACACACACGCTTCTTGTTACACAGGTGACTTTGAGATTATCTTGAGTATTTCACAGACGTGTTTCAATTTTCCCTAGTCTACCTACTTAGTTAATTGAATGAAAACACTATCTACACCAGAAACGAGAGAGGAAATATTGAAAAGATGAAAGAAAGAAATGAAAGGAAGAAGAATAAAAGGTAGGGGAATTAAGGCAAAGAAGCAAAGTCTATTAATGTAGATGTTTTCATCAAAGAGCATAAAAAGTTAGAATTAGAAATATTAATCCATTTTTTGTTCTCCAACTTCTGGAAATTACAGTGGATGAAGTTGACAATGGGTGCATAGTGGTTACCCCTACACTTACACAGACACCCGTGTTTTCTACTAGAAAAGAGGTAGGATTGCATCTCTGAATTCATTTGGATAGAATGGGTATAATCAACCCCTGTAGTCCTGGTCTTAGAGCCCTATGAGACTGTCATTCAGACTCTAGCCCAACAGAGCTTCTACTCCTAGCTAAGTCTTCTTCACCAAGAGTGTAATGTCAAATAGATGTAGGGGTAGGAAAGTTAATTCTCATTGACTTACATCCTCCTAAGAGCCAAGCTCTGGTAGCATAGTGGTTATGAATTGGGCTGTGAACCGCAAGGTCAGCAGTTCAAAACTACCAGCTGCTCCACAGGAGAAAGATAGGCTTTCTGCTCCTGTAAAGATTTACAGCCTCGGAAACCCTGTTCAGGGTCACTATGGGTCGGAACCGACTTGACAGCACTTAACAACAACAACAACAACAGTAAGAGCCAATCACTAGAACAGAAATTCTAATTACCAATTGCTCAATTGTTAAATCTTTTACAGGGCAAGTTTAATATAGCAGTTCATTCTTCTAGCTAACTTTTGTTATTAGTACCAAATTATCTTTTATTTATGGTATATTTTAAGATAAAGCCATAGTTAATATGACTTTGATGTCATCTTTCTTAGACAAACAAAACAGGATAAAATATATTAGGTATATACACATTTCAATGCGTTGGCTAATACCTGAATTGTGTTTTTAAAGTCAGATACAAAGATGCAAAAATCACACACACACACACACACACACACACACACACTCACACACGATGAAATACATGCATAGACATACTTAAAAAGAAAACCAGATATAGTCTTATGCTGTTCTGTATTTTGCTTGTTTTACTTAACAATAATGGTAAGAGTTTCTAGGTTAAAGTTGTATATTACACGCACTCATCTAATTAATTTTTTTCTCCAATCACAAACAAAAGCATAAAAGGAGTTTCTAAAAGTAAAATTTGAGAAGAACTAGAAGACGAGGTAAGACAACAGCACCACAACTTTGAACACTGGAAAGTAGAAGAGTAAACGGTAGCTGATTTTACGAATCTCGGGCACATGTTGTTCATTTCATTGACTATAGTCTGCTCCGCGTACCGTCATGTAGCCCACTTCTTCTTGTGCTTTTTGTAAAGGCCTTGGTGAACGCTGGTGATAACCTGTGGAATTCAGCCAGTGTCCATCTAGGATTTCAGTTTTTTAATGAGGGTCAAAGTAGCTGTTGGAGAATATCACAGTTCTCTGAGAATTTAGGTGACGAATTAAAAAAGCTAAAAATGGGTCTGGAATCAATCTTTTATTCCCAAAAGCAATCCTCAGTTGATATGGTTGGCACAGGAGAGAGTTGTACAAAAAAGTGCAAATGTTGAGAACTTGAATGACTTTGAATTTATATGAGACAGAAACCCCATTTAGGACATTTACAACATTTATGTGTTTATCTCCTCACTCTGAATGGATGTCTGGGGAGATCAGTTGTAAGATAAAAATCCCTTTTTTGCAAAGGATTTGAACAATTTTGTTTTTATACTAAACATACAGTGAAAGAAATGTAGATCTTCGTTGGCATCTAAAGATCCTTATTAATCCTCCTTGAGTACTTTTTTTCTGCTGCTACAATTTGCTGTCACACACTTTCATAAAGTGTGAGGATTACACAGAGGACTCACAGGAGAAGACATTTATCTTCCATACAGAACCTGTCTTTTCAATTACTCTCTACACAAATTATATTCTTGCATTCTCTTGCTAACTCAGAGTTTGGTATTACTTTTTTTTTTAACTGGAAATTGTATTTTTAAGAAACCTAACTGCTTTGCTTTACTTGTGCATAGCAAGTAGAAGAACAGACATGAAACATTATAGGAAACTGTGTTGCTCCAAAAACATTGCAGGGTTGGATGATGCGAAAACCTTTATCAAACATGGGCCCCTGGCACCACTCACAACAGGAAGTCCTGAAATTAAAGAAACAATAAGTCAATAGTGAGCAAATTTTTCCGTGAAAAAAAAGAGGAAGAAGTAGAAAAAGGCACTGCGTTTGATGCTGTGTAACACTCAAAATAGTTCAAAATATGACCTTTATATTGATTTAACTCTCACCATCCAGATGAGAGAGAAGAAATGGAAGAGGAAGAAATGAAGTACTGAAAGAATTAGACAGTAAAGGAGACATGTGTGTAATAAAGGCCTAGTACACAAACACAAAAAAAAGAGTGTATGTGGAGCAAAAAATACTCTACAGACAGACTCAAATTGAAAAATGACAATTATCTATGGAAAATGTCTTATAGGAAATTACTATTTCTTTTTATAATGTTTTTGTGTACTTTCTAAATTTTTTATAATAATATGTTATTTTCATAATTCAAATACATCATTTTAGAAATAATTTTTATAGAAGAGTGATACTAGATGTCAAGATTTTATCCTTAGCGTGCTTATTGCAATAATAAAGTAGCATCCAATCCTGAATAAATAAATAAATTAGAGCACAGTATAGATGCTCCTCGGAAATCCTACACAGGGTCGCTATGGGTCAGAACCAATTTGACGGCACTTAGGAACAACAACAGAGCACAGTATAGGGTTAGAATTCATATAGATTTTAAAACACTGACAATCAGCTTTTTAAAAAAGACGGCAATAAAGGCAACAATAATAATAAGATGATAAAGACAACACTAATGAAAAGACAACATTAATGCTAATACTGACTTATTAACAATTCATATGAGAAACCTAAATGTCCAGGGAATATAAGAAAATTTTCTCAGTCTCACTAGTAGCAGGAAATACAAATTAAGATAGCAAAACAACAACAACAACAACAAAAAAGCATTTCATAGTCATCAAATGGGTAAAATGTAAGACTCAGACAATAAAACGTTTGGCACAAATGATAGCCAACAGGTGCCTTCAAATTGGTCCAAGTCACTCGTAGTGACTCCACAGAGTAGAACTACCTCATAAGGTTTTCTAGCTGTTATGTTTACAAAGCCGATGCCAGGTCTTTTTCTTAAGGCTCTGCAGGATGTGTTTGGACAGTCAACCCTTCGCTTAACAACCTAAACATTAACCACTTGTGCCACCAGGCCCTTCATATTCTCTTGTTGTTAAGTGCCCTCTACTTTGTTCCAACTCTTAGTGACCCTGTATAGGAGAGCCTAGGCTGTACATGACCAATTTAAATCTGATAATCGTTTAATTTACTATGCCAGGAGTCAAATTGAAAAGGAATGGCGTCACATTAATCATCAAAAAGACCATTTCAAGATCTATCCTGAAGTACAATAATGTCTGGGATATGATAATATCCAGACACCTATAAGGAATACTCCATCAACTCCATGGCACATTACCACTACAAGGAAGACCAGTTGATATCATGACTGTTCAAATTTGTGCACCAACCACTAAAGCCAATGATGATGAAATTGAAGAATTCTACCAACTTCTTCACTCTGAAATTGATCAAACATGCAATCAAGATAATTACTGGTGATTGGAATGTGAAGGTTGGAAACAAAGAGTTGTTTAGGACAGTTGTTGTTGTTGTGAAGTGCCGTTGAGTTGGTTCCGACCCATAGCGACCCTGTATAGGGTTTCTGAGAAGCAGCTGGTGAGCTTGAACTGCCGACCTTGCAGTTCAAACAGTTTTGCAGTCTGATGCTTTAACCCATAGCGCCACACCAGGTTTAGGTCAGTAGTTGGAAAATATGACCTTAAAGATCGGAATGATGCTGGAGAGCGCATGAGAGAAATTTGCAGGACCAATGACTTATTTATTGGGAACACATTTTTTAAACAGCATAAAAGGTGACTGAATACATAGACTCCACCAGATACAATAGACAGAAAGCAAATTGAATATATCTGTGGGAAAAGATGGTGAAAAAGATCAATAATATTAATCAAAACCAGGCCAGGGCTGAACATGGAACAGATCATCAACTGCTCATATGAAAGTTCAGGCTGAAGCTGAAGAAAATTATAACAATTTAATGAAAGCCAAAATATGACCTTGAATATATCCTGCTTGAATTTAGAGACCAACTCAAGAAAAGATTTGATGCACTAATAGTAGAAGACCAGAAGAATTGTGGGATAATACCAAGAACATCATATAAGAAGAAAGCAAAACACTATTTTAAAAAAAAACAAGAAAGAAAATATCAAACTGGATGTTACAAGAGACTCTGAAACTTGCTTTCTATCATAGAGATATGTTAAAGCAAATGGAAGAAATGAAGAGGTAAAAGAGTAGAGCAGAACATTTCAAAGGGCAGCTCAAGAAGACAAAGTCAAGTATGATAAGGAAATGTGCAAAAATCTGGAGTGAGAAAACCAAAAGGGAAAAACATACTCAGCATTTCTCAAGCTGAAAGAATTGAAGAAAAAATTAAAACCTCAATTTGAAATACTGAAGAATTCTATGGGTAATATATTGAGTGATGCAGAAAGCATCAAAAGAAGATGGAAGAAATACACAGAGTCACTGTACCAAAAAGAAATGGTCCAACCATTTTAAGAGGTAGCCTATGGTACTGAAGGAAGAAGTCTAAACTGCACTGAAGGTATTGGCAAAAAACAAGGCTCCAGGAATTGACAGAACACAAATTGAAGTCTTTCAACAAACTGATACAGCACTGGAGGCACTTACTTATCTATGCTAAGAAATTTGGAAGACAGCTACCTGGCCAACTGATTGGAAGAGACCCATATTTGTGCCCATTCCAAATAGAGGTGATCCAAATAAATGAGGAAATCATTGGACAATATCATTAATATCTAATTCAAGTAAAGTTTTGATAAAGATAATTTAAAAATCTCTGTAACAGTACATTGAAAGGGAACTTCCAGAAACTCAAGCTGAATTCCAAAGAGGATGTGGAATGAAATGTCATTGCTGACATCAGATGGATCTTGGATGAAAGCAGAGAATACTAGAAAGGTGTTTATCTGTGATTTATTGACTATGCAAAGGTTTTTGGCTGTGTGGATAATGAGAAACTATGGATAACATTTGGAAGAATGGGTATTACAGAACAATTAATTGTGCTCATGAAAAGCCTGTACATAGACCAAGAGACAGTGGTTTGAGCAGAACAAGGGAATACTGAATGGTTCAAAACCAGGAAAGGTGTGTGCCAGGATTGTAATCTTTCACCATACTTATTCAATCTATATGCCAAACAAATAATCCAAGAACCTGGATTATATGAAGAAGAACATGGCATTAGGATTGGAAACAGTTCCCCCTGTCCCCCCCTCCCCCCGCTCGAAACGTCTTTTCAATTAATTGACTGCTCATAGCAAACTTCATCATAGAGTTGATTATATTATGTTAGACCACATCATGGCGACAGCTACATCTCAACTCTCAAATCACTAGGAATCCTGGTCCAGTCAAGTTGACACAAAACCTTAATTATCACACTTAACTGATAATGATCAAAGACTTTAGTGTGGATTGCACCTCAGTGTAAAGAAAATGAAAATCCTCACAACTGGACTGATAAATAACATGATAAATGGAGAAGAGATCAAAGATATCCAAGACTTTACTTGGAGCCACAATTAATGCTCGAAGCAGCAGTCAAAAATTCAAATGATGTTGCATTAGCCAAATCTGCTACAAAAGACCTCTTTAAAGTGTTCAAGAGCTATTTTGGTGCCTGGATTCAGGTGGGATCTACTTAGGATTTGCGGAACCCACAGAGCTACCAGACTAGCATTAATCAGTCACCTTGCCCCCAGCTGTTTTGTGGTCCTAATAGACACTGAAACTAGCTCTATCAAGAACCTCCACGAACTGCTTGAGTGCCTTTGCTAACCATTCTGAACTTTGTCCTTGGATAAATGTTGTCATTTTTATTTCAATTAGGTTGATTATTCCAAGGTGTGCATACCTCACTATTGTTATTCTTCCCTTCAGAGACCTATTGTTTACCTGACAATTGAGCCATGGGGTTGAGTACACTTCCAGACCTATAGGAAGTATAAGAACCATAATCTCCGAGGTTCCTCCAGTCTCTATCTGACCAGAATGGCTGGTCTGTTTCATGATTTTGAGTTTTGTTCCACAATTTTCTCCCACTCCATTGTGGATCTTCTAATGTGATTCCATTCAGAGCTGTTGGTGGTGGTAGCTTTGCATGATCTCGTCTTTCTGGTGTCAGGGTCATGGAGACAGATGTTTGTGTAGTCCTTTAGTTCATTGGACTAATTGTTTCCATGTGTTTTCAATTTTCTTTCCTTTTCTTTCCTCTCCATAGGGAGAGACAAATACTTGCCCCATAGATGACTGCTCACAAGCTTTTAAGACCCTAATTACTACTCACCACAGTAGGATGTAGAACACTGTCTTTCTGGACTGTGTTATGCCATTTGACCTTGCTGTCCCCTGAGATGTCCCCTGGTCCAGCAACTCATTCCTTAAAGGTGTTTGGTTAAGTCTAAGAAGTTTTTATAACTTTGCCTGCTGTGTGCTTTACCACATTAGTGGCTATATTTGCAGCAAAGGTAAATACCCATTTACAAAGATCATCTATCAAACCTATATATATATTTGTGGGTATACTCCCACTCTCCCTCCCACACCCACTCAGCCTGCATGTCTCTCCATGCATCTACCTGTAGATCCCCATTCCTGTGGGACTGTGTGTATAACAGTATTTATCTCTGTGGTCTTTAACTCTTGCACTCCTTCTGGGTCTTCCCCTGGCTCCATCATATTTTTGCTAGTCTCCTTCTTATTGTATATTGCCTTAATCTTCACTCAAGTTAACACATGTCTGTCTACCCTCTAAACAATGAATTATGCTCATTTCTCCTCTGACCCCTGGTACTCATCAAAGAATGTCTCTTTTAGTGTGAAAATCTTTTCTTGACTTTTTACAATACTGGTCTTGTACAATGTTTGGCCTTTCATGACTAAATCATTCCACTCAGCATA